AGTAACAACGCTGCTGGCATCTGCATCACCTTCGTCTAAAATGACACGAAACCCGTGAAAAATCATGCTATAAACCTGGTTTCTTGCCGCGAGCCTAGCTCAATCGTTAAATGTAGCGAAAGTAAGAACTTGATTTGCGCATCAAAGACCGAACTATCTTCGATTCTTTTCATGTTGCTGAGAAATAAATTTGAACCCATCGGATATCTTGTTTTTCTTCAGATATATCTTTCTTCCTGTGGCGTCATGCTTATGGCTCATTAGATTTGGCAGAGACCACTGGGCGGTCGGACAGATCTCCTCATCTTCTTTGTGTTTGTCATGCATATGCTTTGTTCATTGTAAAGTGCCTGCTCTGATACTTATTTTCATTTGTGACAATTGTAGAAGAACTGTTACATTCTTGTGTAAAGTTCAAGGCTCATATGAAGCACTGGCAAAAGTCGAACTCCAGAGGGACGAACTTATTCTTCGGCTCAAATGTTGGAAAACCTGCCTCCCGCCGCTTCAGGACGAGATTCCAGAGGCAGTCGTGATTTTCATACCCGTATCTATGGATTTCCAACAGATCCATGCTTTCTTAGAGCTAGAATGAAAGCAGATAGCATCACTACTAACAAACCCTATACTTGAAGTGGCAGTACAAGTTGATATTGACTGGCCATTTTTTCTTAGAGCTAGAAAAAATTCCGTTTTTTACGAAGCGATTGTAATATGTCAGCGTTCAGATGAAGCAAATATTTAGACCACCAGCTACCTAGTGTATTTTCAGACAGGATCGACCACCATTGTTGATTGTATTGGAGTGAAAATGTATCTATCTTCGATAGCACAAGTCTAATCTTTCCTTCTCTTCAGACATAATTTTTGGGTCCTCTTGGGTCGTAGACTTCGGAGCAGTAGAGGTCGATCTGCAAAGGCATATGGTCCTTCCTCTGCATGGGGCGAACTTTGGCCCGCCCCATCTTAGCTAGCGAGTAGAGATACAAGCCCACTGAGACGTCCTCCACGTATTAGGGTCGGTGAGATCCCACCAGAAAAATAGATGTAGGATTAAGACTACTGACAATGAACTTCTAGTCCAGAGTCCGAACAGAATGCGAATCCATCGTCGAAAAGTTTATGGATATGATTTCATTGCATAACTGTAGGGAAAAGGCGTGATACTTCCGTCCGCAAGGCTCTGACCTACTGCGACTACTAGGTCTTCTGACATTGCGTAGCCGAGTCCTCGTGCGTAAGCAGGATAAAACTCGTTTCCGAACGATCGGTAAGGCACGTAATATTTGTCAGACGTGTTGCGGTTGGGTTGTACTAGAGCCATGATGAAGCCCCAGTAATGGCCAGTATGCAGGTGTTTACTCGTCTCATAATTCCCGATATCAACGGTCTGGATGGGCTATGAATCTGGGCATTTTCAGATGTTGTAGGCTTTGGGGATTATCATCGTGCTAGGTAGTCTACGTTGATCATATGCGGAAGTACACCTCAAACTGTGAATAGGGAGGAGGACCAAGAACATCCTACATCTGATATACATTAGTAGTACAGACGGTAACTACTTATGTATCAGAATTCACAAATGCTCATAATTCGATAGTTGGCTTGATGTCGCGCACTTGCTCCTCCTCCGACTTTTCGTACCAATCAGGGTCTTGTCTGCCATCAGGCAACAACGCAGTAAAATTTGTATGCGAGCGCTGCGCTGATGAAGTGCGCCGCCCTGTATACGGTGCAAAAAGATCTTCCACCATACCATCTATGTTGAAGAACGTGTCGTCGTCCGCCTTGGCGATTAGATTCTATACCGTGCTGACCACGACAGAGTAAGAGTATTACTCCTATTGAATAAATTTATCCTTGTCTTCTGAACATCAGATACTGACTGGTGTGGATAGAGTGAAAGAAACTGTGAACTGCATGGAGGATGCGTTCAATAGAAGAGAGAACAATGAATTAATGAATTACTTAGGATGAGCGGCCACAGACAGTCGACATAACATCAGATATCGCAATCTTGTTCCCGTCTTCGGTTCCCTGAAATGAAGCATACCAAATTTCATGATGGCTGCCGTTTTGACCCAAATGTTCTCGAATTTGTCATCCAAATGGTGCAGAAGGACTAGATCTCCGTGCTCCGCTTGTTCCTCCTCCAGCTCCGACGAATGGCCTAGAAAAAAGACCACTCGGATCTCAATCGCCGGATACCGTGAGCCACGCGCCCAAGTGCGTCGGATCAGGTCTCGCGCTCTGCGGTTCTTTCGCGCGGAGTGGACGCAAACGAGCAGCTCTCCCGTGAGGCTCATTCCGGACGCTAGCTCTGCGGTATTGCTTCCTGGGAGACCAAGGGTCCGACTTTGGACCACTGAAACCTCCTGATTGTGCATGGCAGTCAAAGCAGTGAGAAAGCGCAAAAACCGACTCTGCCCCCAGTAGAGTGCGGTCAGATAGTGATTACTCTCGTGAGTCATGTACATGCGCACACCCTGCGTGAGGATGCCGTTACCGTCGGTGATGGTATTCACTACGTGGTGCATCTCTTGGGGCGTGGTAAAGTAAAACGGCATGAAAAGAAGCACCCGCTCCAGGTAGCTTGCGAGATTCGCACTCAGGTAATAGATCGGAATAATTCCGTTCGAGAGACACTCGATGAATTCCTCTCCAATCTCCTCGGTGAAGATGAGACGAAACGGCATGCGGTCGTTCTGACACTGGTCTTTCTCCAAGCACATGACGACCCATCCCTGCCTTACCATGTCCAGGAAGAAGGGCGTCCAAGTGTCTGGATCCGCCAGCCACTTGTGATGATTGCGCTGCGCCTCCTTGTCAAAGACACGGTGCGCGTGAAATGACACCAATGGTATGCCTTCGAGCTGCACCGGCAGTATTTCGTCTGGCCTCCACGGAAGAGAGTGGAAAGCATCCATGTCTTCCACCTCATTCGCGTCGAAGGGAACCAGCTTGCACTCAAGCGTTTTGGTTTTCTCTCGGAAAGCTACGATAAGTAGCTCATCCTCCATGACGAGAATGTCATAGTGTGCACAAAGCTGCGATGCGAGACCTAACCAGGGGTCAAGCGTCTTGCCTTTCCCATGTAACCACAAGACGCGTAAACTTGTCGCTTCAGTGTACCAATTCTCGGTTCTTTTATTGTTCTCATTCTCCGCATGACTTGCTGACAGCACCTTGCTTTCATCATCGTCGACAAGAGCAGTAGTAGAATCGCCCTTCTCTGTTTCTTCCCCACTCTTCGTAAGATCAGCGTTGCTCGCTCCTTCAAGTAGCTCCTTCAGCGACCATAGTTTCAGTTTTGTAAATCCATCAACTGCCTGCATGTGCATCTCACGGCTGTCAGCAGTTGCGACATCTACGACGACGCAGCTGCGACTGCCAGGCCCCACGTCGGTCCCAGGATCTGGATTTCGTAATGCAACTAAAACCGATGAGCTTCCAATTGAACCCTCACCTGGGATCCCTCCTGTCGGTCTTCCTGTTGACCGACCTCGCGTGCTCGCCAATAGTGCTGCCGTCTCCTCATCATCCTCCTCTCCACCTAAGGACGTGCTGCTTCCGTCCGCCTTCTGTTCGTGTTCGACTTGACGCTGCACGAATTCTATGTGTGTGGGCCGGTCGTCAAAGATGGAGCGTAGAAAAATGTCCGGATGAAAAGGGAACAGCGTTGCCAGAGAGCCTTGTAGATTCGCAAATTTTGCTCGAAGCCACTCTTTTGTCGGAACCAATGACGCGGCTTCATCCTCTTCGCCTTGTGCGGGGCCAGGATTTGGTGCTGCTAGTCCACCTGTAGCACCACCGCCAAATGGCGTGCTTGTTCCGACTATACTTTTACTGGTTGTACCAAGAGGCGGCAGCTGCCCGCCTCCAGCAGTGTTAAGTCCAGAGCTGGCAGGTGTGGGAAAAACACTAGCTGCGCCTCCGAATAAGGAGGAATTCCCAGAGACACTCCTCACTAAGAGGAACAAAAGACGGAAATACGAAAACACCATACTAAGCTCTCCTCCCGTAAGTAGTGAATCACAGTATTCTCAACAACTCAAGAACTTCACGCACTCATGTCTGGACTCTCGGGCTGCCTTCCACCGTGCTCCTGATAAAAGTGAACTGATGACGGTATGAATCTATTCGGCAATCTGCCTAAGAAAGACTACTTATCATGATAAAGAATATGCTTTTCACATCATACATAGACGACACCGACATCCAGATGGGCGACGTACCCTCCACGCTTTAGGAAAAGACGTTGTTGGTGTCGCCAAAATGGAGAACAACTTAGAGCCACAGCAGAACACAATGATCACGATGTCATTGCGAAAAGGATTCACGACGATGGATGGCATGCAGCCACATAAAAGTAGAGCAATGTTTCTCCACAAAGAAGATCACCCTCAGTGCACTTTCAAGCAATCAACAGAAATGATAAGATTGTAGACGTCAGAATCTTTCTACTTAGTTGCTAACATCGCAAGAACATCAATGCGAACATCTTCACAGTCGAAGCCTGTGCCTTTTTTCGGTGGCATAGAGTTATTACGTAGCTAAAGAATTTCAAAAGAATCAAACAAATTAGGATCCTAGTTGTGATTTACTGTCGTCTCCATTTCATTGACTGATGAGATTCATTTGTCATCAGGCTTCTCGCAATCGCCCTCGATGGAGGGAACGAAGTGATTTATTCTCAAGAAATTCATGACATCTCTATCCACACGGAGCTTGATTCGAATGTTTCTTAGTAAATTGGTCGTAGAATCAAGTTAGCGCTTCCTTCCTCGGCCAATGTGCTTCTCCTTTATCCAAGAACTCCATCGACACTAATTTGCAAGAAGATTTATACAATGTATGAATGTGTTTTGCTAGATCTTATTCTCAAGTAATATTTATAAGTTTCGCAGGACACAGAAAAGAGAATGCGGCACATCTTCCACCAGTGTAGCGGTTCGAGGCTCGACATGATAGGGAGTTCAAGTTTAATGGTCTGCAGACTGCAATATTATATATAAATATAGTTGAAATCAGGAGGGACAATCCTAGTACTGTCTTTCAAAGAGACAGCGGAACATCGAGCTGTAACGGAAGAGTTTGGATTTTGCGATACTTAAAGATTTTGAAGCAGAAATGAATCTACGACTGGCAAAAAGAATACACTCATCTTCCAAAAGGTGATCTTCATCAATCATGAAATAGAAATATGAATATGTTTATGTGCTAACAAGAAGATTTGACCACGATGCTTTAGAATTTCTCGAAATACGGCAGCAGCCGCGTCATTCTGGTGCGTCAGGCTCCTCAGATGAAGATAGCACGTTAGACGCCTCGCCAGGTGCTTCGCATGCAACCTCAGATGATTCATCAAGACCTATCTCAGATGATGGAAGGCGGCCTTCGTATGTTAGGATCGTGTACGCTAGGTGTTTCTGGATTGCCAGACAGGTCGTTCTGTCCCAGCATTGTTCACTCAGGAGCCCGCGCAGTGCCGACGCCCTCGCCACGACGAAGTATACTCCACCGCCGATCGATGTCGGAGCAATAACTGGCCGAGGAAGACTCAAGAACTCGTCCTGCGTGGATTCACTACAAGACAGACGAGAATCTATCGCCTCATCAACAATATCCTCATCCACGCAAAAAGCAGGCGTTGTTACGGAGTCCGCATTCTCCGTCGAAGAGACCGTGTCGTCGCTCTCGCTTGTCTTTTCGATTTCGCCAGTACTAGAAGAAACACCAAATAAATCTGCGTCCGTCTGTGCTGCAGGAGATTGAGAATATTCTACTAAAAGTGGATACAGTAGTACCGGATCTTTCTCTTGTTCTGACGAGGAAGATGCGGAGGAAGGGACTAGCCACACAGGCTGCGGGTTGACCAAATACTCCCCATTCCGAAGAACAACGCGAACAACCTGACCCATCACCAACTCGCGTTTGGCAGTATCGCCGTGGATGTCAACAAAGGCCGCGACGCCTTCGTCTTCTGGTGCCGCAGCCATGGAGGAGGACATGTCACTAGTTGTACCTGTGCCACTAGTTATACCGCTGTAATTATCTAGATTCTCTTCTTCTACCACTGGAAGACCCAAGCTTCTCACATGTTGGTCGGCCGACAAAGAACACGCGTCCGTCGCCGCACTGTTATCTTCCATCGAGAGTGTGCAGCAATCAGTACACATGTTGTCCTTCGACCTTTCATAGAACCCGTGCTCGTTCTCCGACTCGTCTTCTATGGTCAACGACCGAAAGGACTCGGTTAAGGGCGCGTCAGAATGACCACATGAATCGCTTAGATGTAAGTTTCCACTTCCAACCATGGCATTCTCACCACCACGTGAAAAACGAGAACTTGCGCTTCCATCGTGTCTGCTATGCATACGCGACTCAACATCATCGACAGGTACGTTATCTTCAGCACCAGAAGAAGGGTACTCTCGCTGCAGCCGAGGTCGTTTGGTCGTCAGTTCCCATGGCGCATCCTCGATCGCCAGTTGGGAAACCCGTGGAGATGTTTCTTCAAATGCACGCGGTTTCTTCTCTCTTGGGAAAAATTGGAGGTTTATTCCGTCCTCTGCCTCTGCGCTGGAAGACGCGAGCTCTTCCGGGCTGTCTTCTGAAGCTCTGATGGTAGATAGAAGGAGGGGTCTCGTATCCCCGCCGAACCTTACGAGCGAGCCTTGGTGACGGGAAGATGATCCTCGATAAGCGTTTCGTTCACTGTCGCGTGAGGAAAGCACCAAACTGGCCGAATCGTAAGGCAAATCTGAAGTTGTAATCGTGTCTCCGTCAATCTTCGCGACAAGTGGTGATGTGTTCAGTTCTAAACTAGTACAGCCGCGGGATCGCGGAACTTTCTCCTGTGCTGCTCGATTCAATCGGTCACGCTCGCGTTTTCTAGCATGCTCTGTCCAACACTGGCCAATGCGTCCCGGCGGTTGCAGCAGCATCATGTGACGCACCTGCCGGCGCACCGATGGCAGCGCTCCACAGTTCGAAGATGAACGGCCGCACCAACCTCCCACACAAGTAGTTAAGGGGCACGCGCCGCGAGGGTCGCTGGGAGCGCAGCAGTTGCAGCCCCGTGCAAATAGCGCGCGTCCGCCGACGCAAAAGGCCGCACTCTTCGCCAAAAACGGAACCAAAGTGGCTCTGGCAAACTGTAGCAACCTTGTTGATGCTTCCATGACAAGTGACTTGCCGCTCTGAGCAGCGATCTCACGCCCCAGGGCACGCGCTAGCAGCCAACCCGCAGTATCCGCGACCCACTGCCCGGTGGCACTCCCAGCTGCGGTTTTTAATCCGGACTCGACAAAGGGTCCAACAAAAGGAATCAATTTCAGACCCTCCAACAGAATCTGACCCGTTGCCTGCGGTGATTATGGCGAAGGGGAAGCAGTAGAAGAAAGATAGAAGCACAGCAGAGAAAAACAAGCGCTCATTCTATGGCTTTGCCTAGAAGCTTCTAAGTAAAACGGTTAGCTGAGACACTAGTACCCCCTCAACGGCAGCCGTCGTCCCCGTGCTCGAAGCCGATGAGTACCATAATGCGGCCGCGTCCTTTGCCAGAGCCGCCAATTCGGGCTGGGCCGAGTCCATTGCCTCGACAAGGGCGTTTCCCGCATATGCAGTGAGAGCGTAAGCCGCTCCTGCCAGAAGCGCTGGAGGTACTAAGTCTTGCAAGACGGCGGTGCCAACGGCGACCGCGCGTTGCACTTTACTGGGTGGATGCGAAAACTTCTGCGCCAAGACGGCAACACAGCTGGCGCGCTCCGCTGATGATGATATCTTAGAACACGAAGTTAGTAGAACAATCTCAAGGTATATCTTGCATCACGCACACAAGGCAGCGCGAGACCTCAATTCCTAAAGGGGTAGAGTCGCTACTCTGTACATTTATATTCTGCCTGAAACATAGACCTCCACGATATTAATTTCTGAGCCTTAAGAATCGCGTAGCCGGTACAGGAAGATCCTGGAACCAGGAGAAGTGATGTTCGAGTACAGCATGGTTGGGCTTCCGCTTCCGAGGACGCGAGTGCCGGACAATCTGCTTGTCCGAACGGGAAGTACGCAGCTGCAACTCCACATGCTGTGTCCAATTCAGCTTGCGTAGTTTCGGACTCTCCATCTGCTCCTTGATATCGTTCGTCTTGATATCCAGGCTGCATCTCAGTCACTGTGCCGCGTGGCGAACCAGATGTATTCGGGGGAATCGGAGCGTTGATGGATACCTGATCCGATACGACGACAGCGAGATCTGTGTCGAGGACCGGAGTGCCGTCACAGGGACTCTTGACTTGCGGACCAAATGAGAATGGGGCTCTCGTTGGAGCTCCTAGCGCTGCCGTTCGCGTTGGAGTTCCCGGTTCCCCGGTTTTGCTTCCGCTTCGAATAGGCTGAAGAACTCGAGGAGGCTCATTCCTCTGTTGGCACACCCTGTCGTCCATGTGCGAACGAGGCAGCTCTCGCGCATCATGCGTAGTAATGATCTCATCACCTAAAGGGCGTCCGTCTTCGGACGTTGCGACTGAGCACAGCGATACACCGGAACGAAACCGCAGTGAACGTGTGGACCGTTTCAATCGATTAAGAAATCCTCCTCTGCGTCGCCTGCCGAAGGACTTAGTTGTGCACCGCATACCAGCAGCCCGTATGGACGCCGCGACCCTGCGCTGTTGCTCCCGGCTAGTTGAACCTGAATGCATTTCTCGTTTCCCGCCACCTCGTGTCAGCGGATCTTCATTAAGCACGCACGACACCCCACGACGAGTCGCCAGCGTTGCATCACGATTAGTTCCAAGTACATCTTTTGTTCTCTCTGTACTAGCGCGATCGAAAAAGCGCCTAGTACCCAGATGTTCGTGACGACTGCCCCGTGCACGAATCCATTTACCGCGAATTGAGCTAGCATTGCATCCTTGCCACAAGCATGAAGAGCAAATCACGAGGCCAAAAATTACGCAAGATGCGTGTGACAAGAACCAACGCTTGGACAGCCCCAGACCCGAAATAATCATCATTTGCATCTGTGAACTGAACGAAGAACCAAGTAGATAGACCGAATAAAACACGGTACTTAATAGTGTATTTTTGTTTAGACTGATACTGAAGATAGTGACTTTTTTTCTTCTACGCAGTGAGCGCGCTCCATTAACTTTTTGTGAGGCGGGAACGACTCAAGTCGATCAACTGTTGGTTCATGTCGTCAGCGAACTACGTGTGTATTGCGGAGACTTCATTTAGTATGACATGAAGATCATCAATTGTGCGTCGATATCTCGCTTCTTCTCTTTCCCACCGGACTTCAGGTTCAGACCGACTTTCTTAATAACATCTTCCACAGAGAATTAGTAAAGTGTGACCGTGAACTTCTTCTTCACCCCGCCAACCGCGTGTCCGGGGAATAGGTACAATCACGTGAGACCCAAAGGAACACATGCGATGAAAACCATGAGTCCGTCTCGTCCTCCAGGCTTCCGATTCCCCTTCGAGTTATAGCATGGCTATTCATAAGAAAGTCAGCCACACTCGGTCTCCTTCTTCTTACTCACAAGAACGTTGATATCTCCTTTCTTGCACAAGAAGAATCTATAAAGAAATTGGCTTGTGTGCTCTATTTCGGTCTATCATGATTTGGCTCTTCAGCATCGAATTTGAAGTCGAGTTGCCCATCCTCCTCAACTATCTGAGCTCTGGGCATGATGTCGAAGTCGATTAAAAAGTAGATCTAGATCGAAGGAAAAAGACTGCACAATAACAACAACAACAATTTCCTCCTCCGACGAAGAACATATGTCAATGTAATCTTCATCAGCCGGCTAACGTCCGACTGCCTTCATCCTTTGATGATCACCCCTTCCGAATTCGTTGTTAGTCGTACTACTATCTTCTCATTGGTTCTATCAAAATCAATGCATCTAATAAGAACTTGTGCATCTAATAAACTTACTAAGAAAGCCTTTTTGTCCTGAAATCCATCGGTCTATTTCTTACAATGCTGTTTATTTCATCGGTGCCGCATCACACACAGCCACAAGCAAAGCCCGATACTCAAGTCTGGTAATTTCTAAGACTGAATCTGAAAGCTCTTCAACTATGCATGGGCGGGTACTGTATCAACTACGTGTTGGTTCCCGTTCCTGCAGTATGCCTTATAGATACGTATATTCATTGCATGATCTTGATAGCTACTAAAAACAAAAAGTACAATGTCACACTCTATCTCTGAACTGATGAATACTTTCAAGAGGAAGTTTGTGGAGCAGAACCGACCACTCCGTGCTTTTCGGTTCCATAATCAAATACTTCACACAGACCAGTGCCATCACCTCGCTTGAAAAGCGAAATCTCCAGCAGCACCAGAATGAGAAGCTGCTGTATTTGTCTGTATCAATCTATGCCTAGCTTCTTCATCTATCTAACATCAAATAACATGCAAATTTATTATACACAATCGCTATAAGCTGATAGGGCTAAAACATTGCAAAAGCAAAACGATATTATAAATCACGCCACTGATCACCGCCACAAAAACTCCAACCGTAACCCATCGTATCCAACCGTCCACGTCAAACCCCGACAGTCTCCGACCGCTCTCTTGTTGCAGATGGTGACGGCGCCCCCGGGCAGACTCTTCAGAAAAGAAGCCGGAAAAATGCCCGACGGGGGTAGGGGTGCAAGTTGGGGAAAAAAGTCCGAAGAAAGACATCTGAACCGACGGGAGACACCTGGCGAAAGACTGCCACAAAAGACGCCCACCGAAAGACATCCGACAAAAGACGTCCGACGAAAGACGTCCGACGAAAGACGTCCGACGAAAGACGTCCGACGAAAGACGTCCGACGAAAGACGTCCGACGAAAGACGTCCGACGAAAGACGTCCGACGAAAGACGTCCGACGAAAGACGTCCGACGAAAGACGTCCGACGAAAGACGTCCGACGAAAGACGTACGGCGAAAGACGTCCGACGAAAGACATCCGACGAAAGACGCCCGACGAAAGACGTCCGACGAAAGACGTCCGACGAAAGACGTCCGACGAAAGACGTCCGACGAAAGACGTCCGACGAAAGACGTCCGACACTCGCATGATGAAAAACGTCAGGCGAATGATTTCTGACGACAAACGTATGACGAAAGACGCCTGATGGTGATGAAAGCCGTCTGACGGAGGACGTTTGGCGGAGGATGCCTGACGAATGGCCGGCGAGGAGGTCTGGCGAAGGAAAGACGTCTGACGAAAGACATCCAACGACAGCGAAACATCTGACGAAAAACGTCGCACGAAGGGCCGGCTTCGTTCTGGTGAACGAGACATCTAAGGAAAGACGTCGAACGACAGCCCGAGCCCGACGCTTGATGAAAAACGTCAGACGAGAGACGTCCCCATTTCACGAAAAACGTCCGACGACAGACACCTGACTGATGGCGATGAATGCCGTCCGACGACAGACGCTTGACGGATGGCCAGCGGAGAGGCCTGGCGAAAGACGTCTGACGAAAGACATCCGACGAGAGACACCTGACGAAAGACAACTGGCGCAAAACCTCCCACGAAGGGCCGGCTTCGCTCTGACGAAAGACATCTGACGGCGGCAGCCTGACGAAATGCGTCAGTCAGACGAAGCTGAAAGAGAGAGAGACGCCAAAGCCAAACCGACGAAAGACAGAGAGAGAGGCGCCGGCCTGGCGAAAAGCTTCCGTCTGACGAAAGACCTCTAACGAAAGACGTCGGCCCGAGGCGTGACGAAAGGCCGCGGTCTGGCGACAGACATCGGCCGAAAGGCAGCGGCCCGTCTGACAACCGCCGCCGGTCTGACGAAAGGCATCAGTCTGACGAAAGGCGTCAGTCTGACGAACACCATCAGCCGAGCCTGACGAAAGACGTCGGCCAGGCGAAAGACGTCAGCCGGACGAAAGACGTCGGCCTGACGATAGAAGAAAAACAGACAGTCTGACGAAGGGCGTCGGCCTGACGAACACGAAAGACATCGGCCTGACGAAAAGCGTCAGCCTTCCGCAAGGCTGACACCCCTCCGGCAAGCGCCGCCTCTCTGACGAGAGACATCTGACGAAGGAGAGAGCCAAGCTCAGCAAACAGCTGCACACAGAGAGACCCAGCCAGCGCGGCCATGCGTTGCTTCTTCTTGGCCCGTCAAGGTCCCCCTGCCCTCACTCTTGGTCTTCTCTTGCCTGTCACCGCAGGCCGGTTATGAGCGTTGGGCCCTGCAGGCCCTTATACGTGTCTGGTGGCTCTCTTCCGGTTTTTTGTTGGACTGCCGTGGGGGTCTTGCAAATTCTGAAGAATTTGAATGGCCTCCCGGCAGTCCAATGAAAAACCGAAAGCTGCTCGCTTGTCTTCCCATGGGTCGACGTAGCTAAGTAAGTGAGCGCCGGCAGTCTCGCCTTAGTCACTTCATCGAGGTGCACTACCCGGCCCGCGGGCCCTCTCTAGCTGTAGCCCGTGGGCGAGGAAGTGCTAAATTTGGAGCCGGGCGAAGCTTGTCGTGGAAGCTAGTACACATCTTCACTAAACTACGTAGCATCATCCTTACAACGAGTACAACGTAGATAACTTTGCTAGTCGAACGCTCAAAGATGAAAACGAAGTCACTAAAGCAATGCCCCTAGTCCGCCACGCGGCGCGAGGATCGCTTACGAACTTTTTTCATTCTCTTAGTTACCCAAGGCCGGACTACTGACGATTGCGTCGTCAATTATATCAAAGATAAGTAAATGCACTCATCATATTCATAGCACGAACTTTTACAAGCGAGGCGCATCACTATACCGCCTTCCCTTGATGAATTCAATCAATTAAGATTACCAACCTGCACAGGAGACACCATTTCGATCTACTTATCTTCCTTAGATAACACACCCCAGAGACATGTCGGGCAAGAAAAGCAGTAGCTTTTCTATCACCCTCGTCAATCTTCACGTCGAGGAGAGCCGCTTGAAAAGCATCATCTACATCTTCATTGTTCGTGTTATAAAAAAGCCGTCGCTTTTGCAAATTCAAAACAGCAAGACTCACCTTCTGACGTCCTGACTCTGACACACGGCAAAGTAATAAAATGAAACTAGAAGATAAATGCTGTTAAGACAATATATATTTAAGGGTGGCAATTGCTAAATGTAAAAAAAAGATTTGGGTCTACGTATAATACCTTGATCGCTAATTATACGTATCCACACTGATAGCCCACCTTTTCTTTTCGCTGCAACCACCTTCAGCATCTATTGTGGTCTTCATCTTATACTAATTCTCCGATAGTTAATAACTTCCGCACGACCTCCCGCACCACCTCTAGTACATTTTTACTACATACAACTCAATCTCCATATGTCGAATATAGTAACTGGTGACGCTGGTCGAGAACAGCTTCAGACCGACTTCGATAGAAAACTGGCTACGTTCTTCGTAAAGAGTGGACTAAAGTTTCTCCGTCTTCAACGAAATCAAGTATGATGCCATTGGTGAGAGATTGGCAGACTCTCTTACGGCTGTGCGGACGTTTACTAGAGTCCCAACGTATGTCAGATCATAGTCATGGCGCCTCTTTTATGCCCATCGTTCGTGTTTATGCGTGAGGCCATTCAGTGAAGTAGTTACTTACTCATCTTGCGTCCCGGTTCCTCAGGCAACTCTTTTTTCATCAAATTGACGGATTTCACCCTGGTACCGTTCACCGAGTACTCCGTACATGTAGAGGAGGCGAAGACATCAAGTTAGGTTGTCGTAGCGGAAAAGTCTCAGTTCTGCTGGAATTGGAAGTTGGTTTTCGCTTTTCTTGTTCTTGTTCTGGGTTGTTGTTGCTGTTGTTGTTAAAATGCCCAGCCTGAAAACAGGCGATTTGGATAGATAGAAGAGGAACTGAAATAGAGAGACTGCGGCTTTGCCAATTACTTCTTCACCACGCTGAACAGGTTTTGACGGTTCGCTGTGACTGGAGCGGACAGATAATTCAGGCGAGATGAATGTAACAATCGGTTTCCCTGGGTGAATGCGGGTATTCTGTAAAATCACCTGAGGAAATATTTTACACAGGACCTGAAACCCAGTAGCAACAACAAGGAGCAAGTACAGCGTAGTCGAACATCCCTTCACATGTAATCACACCTCACAGCCACAACCATCCGCTAGACTAAACGTCTTTCTGTCATAATCAATAAATTAACTGGAGCAAGGGCCTTCCCCGCGGGCCTCCCCCTCTCAGCGCGCGGACTGGGAGTTCTGTCTAAGTAGAAGAAGGAGCCATGCCATGAAATTGCTGCAGCCCAAGCTCACATAACACCTCGCATCATCATGATAGATAATGACAAGGCCGGCAAGTGAAGATTGTAGATGGAGGCTAGTTCAACATAACGCTCCGGCGTCGGGTCCTTAAATAACTACACTCACGGTGACAAGGCAGTCCGTGGTCACCACTGTGACGACCAGAGACGGAATGACGTAACTAACACAACCCGGTGAGTGGACCCACGACCCCGCACTATTTTAGACCACAATTCACAATTTTGATTTTCAAAGTCAGGCCAACGAGGCCTCAACGCACAACATGATTGAATATGAGTTACAGTAAGCACGTTGATATCTTGCTATTGCTGATGCTAAAAAGATATTTGTAACCCATCCTTTTATCACTTCCAACTATTGGTCGTGGCGACTTATTCTGGTATCATGATCAAATCAATATTCACCGTATCATGTGTATGAGCGAACGTAGTACAAAGATGCACGCACAATAAAAAAAAAGCAATGCAGAAAAAATCTTCAGACAGCAGATCGATGGGTCCGGCCGCTTGATATGACAAATAATAAGAAGAATGAAATGCTCGACCTCTAGTTTGGCGCGCCGTCGCCCTTCAGACATGCATCACGATGTACTCATTTTGTTCGAGGGTGATTCCCGATCAGGAAACCGTTTTGGCATTTTCGACAAACTCAAACAACAATCTCACTAAATCCCTAAGAACCTCTTGCCCCACAGCTTTAGAATCACCTCCCGCCCACGCGTGGGTATACCGTTTTGATGAGCTACCATGAAGTTCGCATATATTTTGCAAAGATAATAAGCACATGTTGATGGGAAACGAAGAAAATCGATTTCTTTACAATACACTGTAGCATCTTGAAAGATTGGGCTAATTATGATGCTTGTCTCAACTATAGAACTACAAGTACACGGCAAAGACCCGCCACGATATCATTAAAATACGAATCGTTGATCTAATTAGAGAATAGTATCGACGATAGGCCCCTCTCTTCGGTCGGATATCTGTCGTCTGTCGGTGTACTTACGTGTAGCTACTGACTCTCGACCGCTACTGCCGTGCCTCTGATCGCGACCTAGCCCTGGAACCAAAGAAAAAGAACTGTTTGATTTTTTTCACGTACATTAACTTCATAGTAGGCAAACGAAACCAGACCCCCCTGATGTGTCCCACCTGATACACGCAACGTTACGGACTTAGCTGTATACGACAAAATATATGAGACCATGTTTTCTCTTGGGAGCAGAAAGAAATCTAACTAATTATACAAAGAAATATCCAAATCCTGTATCAAGATCGACGAATCATGCATAATTACTGATGATGATGCGGCACTTCTTCCTGAATGCTGTACCTCTAAACAAAACTCAAGTGTGTGAGAAAGCACATCAAAAAGATGAAGATTAGGATCATATGAAGAATACGAAGAGTCAAATAGGGTGTCAATTGATAGATCATAGAATCATGATCCAGCAGTGTTAATGACAGTGTTAGGCGGTTCATCTTATCCACTACTTATCATGGTTGAAACTCAGACCGTTCGCGTTTGGGTAAATCTCCAAGAGTGAGTTCGCTGTAGCGGTACGAGTAGGCATAGTTCCTAGACTACAACAACGAACATCATTAACCTAAGATACATAAATCATAGTGTGTCACTTTTACACGGATTGATAAACGAGTGCAGTCGACATATGTCAAGATGAATATTGGATTTAATGAAGAATATCGTCACAAAAACTAGTGGGGCTGACGCTGAGTATTTATATAAACAAATAAGAACATCGATCATTCCGCTAACACAAATTGTCCAACATTGCGAGAGTCGTACACGGTAAGACGAGCAGAGTTTAACCCTTTTGCTTCTCGGGGGCCCACTTCAAAGTCCGCAAGTCGCATGCAGGTACCTTGAGTAGATGTTGTTGTTCTTGTTCCTGGTGTCCGTGTCCTGGCTCTAAGTAAAACTCCGCTGAAGAACGTCTTGCTTCAGCATCTTACTCGGCTAAGTGTGACTAAGTAAGTGTGACGAAGTAAGTACGCACGTACGTACGAGTAAGGAAGTAAGTAAGTAAGTAAGTAAGTAAGTAAGTAAGTAAGTAAGTAAGTAAGTAAGTAAGTAAGTAAGTAAGTAAGTAAGTAAGTAAGTAAGTAAGTAAGTAAGTAAGTAAGTAAGTAAGTAAGTAAGTAAGTAAGTAAGTAAGTAAGTAAGTAAGTAAGTAAGTAGGTAAGTAAGTAAGTAAGTAGGTAAGTAAGTAGGTAAGTAATGTAATGTAATAGTACTTTTCAGCCCAGCAATGCTACAGCGCTACAGACATTAATTGCTGCAACATAACAACTGGGTAAGCGTAAGAAAAGTGCCAGAACTTCTGCATAGTCTGAAGACAACAAATATGACACGACAATAAGCCGCAACATAATCATGATTCACAAAGCAATAATTTTGTAACAAATTGAAAATATACCCAAGGGCAACGACGGTATCCCGATGTCGCAGCACTTCGGAAACGGTTGTCGGGCATATGTGCTTGTCCCTGCAGCAGAACCAAACGCCACCGTGACAGACGTAGCTGGCGAACCGCTTCGGTCCACTCTCTTTTTGGTCGTGTCCGTCTTGTCGACGTTTAGCCGACGTCTGTGCAAGAACGTCGCAGCTGTCGCTATTTTTGACAAGAACGGACGTGTCTTGATTTTCTGGCACTGCGCATTCTTGTTCCTCTTTCGCTACGCCATTTGTTGACTGCCACTTGCGTGCACTAACCGAGGTACTCGAAGACTTATCGCCCTCAGCAGAAGAAATGTTAGACGTGATCACGTAAACAGTTTGGTTGTCAACAAAAAAATGGTCATATTGCGAAATAGAGACATATCAACTTCTATGTTAAACTTACAAATTAATTAGTGCAATTCAGTAACTTGTTACAGCAGCTTGTTTACTATGGTATAGTAGAATCAAAAAATCCGCAACATGAAAATCTGTTGACCCGTAACAGTGGAGCCTTGATGTTCCTCAGAGCTCTCCCTGGCGAGTGTGATCTCTGTCCGCGAGGACGTGAGCGAAGAAAATTCCGTAGCCATCGTGGTGCGCGTCGCCGTCGTTAACATAGTGCTCGGCTGCTGCACCATCCCCTCTGAGGAAGCCGAACAGCTAGCCAGGCTTTCGATCGTCCCCACAGAGCTACTGGAGAAGGCCCCCTGGGCGTTACTGTTGCCCGCCTTCTGCAGCAGACATGCTTTCGTGTTTTTCCCGGTCATTGCGGTTTTGGACGCTGCAGTTGCTCTTAGAGCTATCGCGTTCGCATCCTCCTTGAGAGTCATATCCTTGGAGCATTCTTTTGCCAGTAGAAAAAGGGCCAAGGATGATGCTGAGGACGCTTGAACGATAGCCTTAATGTTCGCTCAGTGTGCGAAGACGCTGTCTGGCTTCTCTTCGGAGACCCAATGTCCTCGCCCTGTTCCGGCGGGCCCGTCGACTTCGTGGCCGATGTGGTCAAGGTTTTCAGCCCCCCACCGGAATTGTCCTTGGTAGAATTGAACATGTGCGATACCTCTGCGTCCTCCACATCGTACGCAACGAAGTCCATATCCACGTGACTCTCCTGTAACACTCCGAGACAACGTCCTGTCTTATTACTCGCTCGGTTCTCGACAAGTTAGAGAAGGTAGTCTTTCATAAGTTTCTCAACATGATCGTGACGCTGGATGTCTATCACCATAGAGCCTTCTATCACGTGCATTCGACTTTAACCAGTCACGCAGTATTTTGATGACATGATGGATAAACACTAGTATCCTCCAACATAAGGTTGTGAATGGACACGGCGAAGGGGACTCTCCGGGAATCTGCTTTCGAGTGGTGAGCGTATTCTTCGGTTCGCGCGTACTTTAGAGTGTGCCTTGAAAAACAAAAACGTACTTGCGCGTGGTAATATTCGTGAAAACATTTACTTTCTCAGAAAAATGCGAGATAGCTACATAGGTGTAAGTACTTTAGCTCTCGTAACATGTCCGAGCATCGTTCCACCTGGCTGGCTGCTTGTTCGTGGCAAACGTGGCGAGTAGCTGCCTGACGGAGTGGCGTGGAAAGAACCTTGGCTGGATACCGTAGACAGGCCGACGCACATAGGGGTGTTTTGGCCCTGCTGTACAACCCCCAAGCCGTCCCCGACCTCGGACACCGACCTCCCAGCAAAGTCCGAGAGACTGCGCGGCCAAAGAACGTTACCACCATTCAAGTCCGCAGCGTCTGCGTCCTCCGCCAGGTTGTATAGTGGTGGACGCTCGGGACCGTAGCCCGCTTGCAAGTCGCTATCCGACGACACCTTGAACAAACTCCCAGAGGACAAGCGCGATACCCATCGCAGTGCGGACACGCTCCCCGCGGCGCACGGAGGTGGACCTCCTTTGCAACAACCGGGCGAACGCGAAACGCCATTGCACGGTTCTGGATCTGACATCGTAGCTTCTACTATGTGGTTCCAGTCGCCCACGTCTGATGATGCCCACGAGCTCGGGTCCACAATCATATCGTCATCCTGTCCGGCACCTTCTTGCATGTTCGCAGATTCCGACGCAGATTCCGACGGCTTTTTGGATAGGCCGCGTTCTTCCACCGGCGACAAGGAGAATCCTTCAGGCAACGGGACGTTCGCGGCCCCCCTTACAAAGCTGTGCTCCACAGAATTGGTGCGGCTGCTGGCGCCGCCATCCACTCCAGCATTTGATACCATAGGACCCGTTCCGCAGGTTGTAGTAGAAATTTCGGGACGGAGTGTCTGCGCGAGAAATTCCTCACACAGCGGAACGCCGAGGCTGCTTGCTTTCGCGCCCAGCAAGGTGCCGCTTCCATTTCCACAACTCGGCGACTCTGCCGCGCCATCAACATCATCAATGCCCTTTCCGTCGCCCTTCGTGGACGGTGCCTGCCTGAAATCTCCCGAGCTCATGCCAGACGTCCCACGATGCCGCCCGCCTGCAGTTGTCGGCGTGTACTCCGGCATTCCACTTAGGTCGCGCGCACTGCCCGTGGTCAACGCGCGCGACCCATTGCGATCTGCAGTTTTCCGAGTCGTATCACCCTGAAGAGTGCGGCCGTTCCGCACACTGCTGCATTTGACAACGCGGCGCTGTTCGCGGCTGACAGTGCTCCCGAGGCTCTCCTCGCCGCTGACGTGGCCACCACTTGTCCCGCCACGACCCCGTAAACTGGCATTCGACAGAAAGGAAATGTCCGCCTCCGACGAGGGTTGGTGGACCGATGCTGTGGACAGGTTATCCATCTGCTCCGTCGAGCTAGTCGTGGGCTTGGTACGCGTGTCTCCACCACCTGGCGACCCCCGCTTCAGTGTTGGTGAGGCTCCATCTTCTGGTGCACCGTCACCTCCGCTTCGAGCTTCCGCACCTTGTTGAACCACTGCGCCTTGCTGCTGGCTGCTGTTTATTGCAAGTTCGGAAGTAGAAGATCCACGACCTCTCGAAGCCGACACCTCTCCTAAGGAAAGAGTTCCCCCAGCGCAGCGCACAGATGATTCGCTCCTCGCGCAACTCGCACCCTGGTCATGGGAAGACGGGCCTTCTGACGGTGGCGGAGGCACACCCTCGCCCTCAAGTTCCCTCGCGACCCTATCTTTCCCGAATTCGTCTTCGGGTCGTACGGTTTCCGCCACAATGACCGAACACAGGTCGTACCGCACACTGCCACCCATGTGCTCTGGCAGGTTCAAAAAAGTTCCGAAGGCAACACCTTGTAGAAGTAAGTGCTGAAGGGTGGTCACATATTAAGGACCTCACTGTTATTTGTATAAATATCGACCTAGTATTGATCACAGTATTGACATGCCTAGCTTGGCGGTTCTTGAGCGCGAGTAACCACTTTGCAGAGCGACGTCAAATCACAAGGCTAGGTAACGGATACAGTCCATGTGGACAAGGCTACACAGCGTCTGCACCATACGAGATAACAGTAAGACTATCAAAAAGCCGCGCAACGATTCGCTCAACATGGATTGGAACAATACACCATTCGGAGCAACACGAATGTTAACCCATCCTGAATAACATTATTCGTCCTTGTTAAACAAAAAGTCAGACATCTCAACGGTCCCTACGACTATCAAGTTAGTCAATTTGAGGGTCAAGGGACCGAGCAAGACCTAAGACCAGGAGCTAGTCTCCCAGTCCGGCCCCCAAGGCTTCCCGGTAGCAACAAGCTCACCAGAACTGGTTTCGAGCTTCAGTAAGAATGCCTGCGCTAAGTAAGTTCGCGTGGGGTCATGGAGCTGTTGTCTCTATCTACTAGAAGCACTAACAGGTTTCCCTGAAGACTCGGGAACATTGCACCCGTCCGTCGTCTGATGAGCAAATGAACAGCCGGCTTCACAATAGTTCCACCAGGTGCACTGCCGATCTGCCAAAAGCTAAGCACAACCATCCCGCTTTCCAGTGAACCGAAGAAGTGAGTAAGAGGAGTGCTCCCCCACGACGAGGCACCTTCAAGCCTAATTTATTCTACCTATGTATTGCTCTCTTTCTGCAGCTTCCTGCTCTCCTCCTTGCACCATGCTCCTCCGGTGCTCTGCGATAGCTGTTGCTACTCGTCGCCGTATTTGCCCCTGTGTCATCTTCTACTCTTCTTCTTCGAAGATAAATGTGAGCGCTTCTCTGATGCTGCTTTCAGGGTCCATCACGCGGCTCTTTTTTTCTTCTGTCCACAGCCAAACATCGCCAAAGAGCGTCACTGGGATAGCGTTCATGCGTTCGCGCGGCATGCTCTTGCATAGATCGACTTGCGGCTTAGGCGGAATCCAAGTGGTGACGATCAGCAGTTTCCTGTTATTTATCTATTGCAGCCTTAACTTCGAGGGTGAGATTTGAAGGTGGTCGAGAGGGTAGGGTCCGATTTTTCTTCTCAGTTTGCTCTTTTCGGAGGAAGAAAAGAAAACTGGAAAAGATCTCATCTGAGGAAAAAGTGGCCGATTGTCAGAGAAGATCATGTAGGCTCTTTATGTCTCTCGTTCAACATTCTTCTTTCCGCTCGTAGTTTGAGTCTATGATGATGGAATTTGTGCAGCAGTCGAAACTGGCGCACACCACAGTTGCTAAGGCAAGCGTGGGACCTTCTTGCAGTAGTATGATGTGGTCAATCTACCTTGTGGACAAAGCGAAAACTAAGACACGTTTTTCAAAAAATTCGATTCAGTTTATTAAGATGAATTTAGAAGGCGACACTGAAGTAGTCAGATATGAAACAACAGAAGATTTTCAATATGATCTAAATATGCAGATGTTTATGCAGAAGTCGCTTAAAAATAAAATGCGAGTCCTTATATTATCTATCTCTATGGAGCGCTGGAAAAGGACTTAGATCGTATTATGCCTTGGCTAGGTGAAGGAAACTGCTCGCAATTAGGATGGGAATTCAACTTCAAAGGCACAGGTGGTTGTCTCGTGCATACGGACACCAGCCAGGCCATACCCACAAGAAGCCATCCACGCCTGCAGCTTCCACACTTACAAGCAACTTACTCAAAGAAAAGACTGATCGTGGTTGTATTTGTTCAACAGTAGACGAAGGAGTCAGTAGAAGTTATCTTACAAGACTCGAACGTCATAGAAGGTGTGGGCACTTTCATATAGATGGCCTCCAGGTGAATTGTCCTGAGTGCGATCTACAGAAAGGCCGACGCGCACCATATGCAAAACAATAGAGATGCTTCGAAACGCATTAGATCAAAGAGATGTGTATTAGTGATTTCTGTAATGTAATTAAGAAGGTGTGCGTCGACCGCTTAAGCTGTAAAGTGACTGTGTGGAGGAAATAGAAGAAGCAGCAAAAAGCATTCGCCAAGACTACTCCTTATCTCTTGATGACAAGGTAGTATGGTTCCTCCTGAGGGATGGAGAACCTGTCCCGAGCAGTGACGACATGACCAGATAAGTTACGCAATCGCTGCGAGTCTCAGACAGTCCGGCTGTTCCTTATAATCTGGATTGAAATTGAATGAGACCTGCGACCGTTTTATGCGAACTTTGTTCGGCAGTGTGCGCACAATGCTGACTAAAGTTGATAAACGTCTCTGGCATTACTGCGTCGAGTACGCTGGTGACTGCTGGGATTGTTTACCGCATAACTACGCGAAAATGCCTCAAAATGATGGAAAGAGTCCAATTGAAATCTTAGAAGAAAGGACTGGTAGAAACTCATCGAAGAGCTCAATCGGCATGCTCCGTCGATTTGGTTGCCTAGTTCACTTTCGTGAACAAATCCAAGCCAGCCCTCCTGAACCCAAGCTCTAGGCCAAATACAACCGTGGCGTCTTCCTTTGGATTCTGTCCGAAGTCGTCTGGTTGGTTGGTTGGAACTTTCGCTCATGGCGATCGTTGCAAGCTTGGACATCGATGGGCGGAATACTCTACCCGAGATGTAAAGTTTGTTCAGAGAGGACTACTTTAATAAAGAATATTGATTGGCTTTCGCCAAATAAAAGGGCATCTACATAGAGTCTGACGAACTGGAAAACCTGCCGGGTGGCGCGTCGTAGCTGGGCTCCCCCTTGCTTGGACAGTCAGAGCTGAGGCTGGACCATCAATCGGGGTTCTCTGGCACGGAGCACATTCCAGGTGGACCGACCGGAATTTCCGAAAAGATTACTGGATAAAGTAGAAGAATCCAACGCAGCTGACTCTTCTAAAGGTGTTTCACCTGAGGAGGGAATGCTGAAGCGAAGGATCGCGTGACATCTGCTCCGCTTAGTCCGTCTAGGTTGAAAGCGCACTCTCCGGCACGTGTTGTGGCAGGCGAACGCCATACACACGGCGAGAAGCGTGGCCGACCAAAAGGAGCTAAGGACAAGGCAGGCAGCAGGGTACGAAGAACAAAGAAACAGTTAGAAGAACTGAGAAAGGATATGGCGCTGCTCGCTAGTGCAGTTGGTGGCATGTGTGAACTCGACGAAGATGAGGAACTCGTCGAGTCATGTGTGATTTTGTCCGTCGCTCAAGCACTCAAGTCCCCGATGCCGATAAGTGGCAGGAGGTTACTGAGAAGAGCACGCGAGACAGCTAGCCTTTGAAACGTGGAAAGCAGCTTCTGACGAGGAGCTCGCGACCGCGTGGCAGGCTCTACCAATTGGCATAATTCTAACTATTAAAAGATGTGGAAGACGCAAGGCTTGCGCTTGTGTCCTCGATAATCTAGACCGTTCAGGAGAGCCAAATGCCTTTGCTCCCGTAGTTTCACACGCCGCAAATAGGTTGCTCCTGACTTCTGCTGCGTCAGAGCAAGACTATGCGACCCCGTTCGATTTAGATTCTGCGTTCCTCAATGCTGAACTCGATCGCGATGTCTTTTGTCATCTCCACCCATCTGGGCAGAGAAGCATGGACGCGAGATCGAGAAGCTCAAGAAGGCCTTATACGGCTTGAAGGACGCACCATGAGCATGGTTCAAGAAATATCACGACATGCTAGCCACTCTTGGCTGGGAGCCGTGTGATTCTGCGCCAGGCTTATGGAGAAACCGAGTGCGAAAGTACCAGAGGAGTTCCGCAAGATGTCATCAGGGACTTCTTAGGTGCCACCATGTACTACTGTCGTGAAGCTCGAACATTTCGGCTTAACATGGAAGAGTACACTGATAGAATCGCAAAGAGGTTTGAAATCCAAGTCGGGAGTCCGGTTTGCTCGCCCTATTTTGACGAGTCGACTTTTCTTGAGGAGGGGATCAAGATAGTCGATGGGTATCCTTATCGTAAGGTAGTTGGTGCCTTACTATGGGTAGCTGTAACCGCGCGCCCGGACATCTCTGTACCGGTGGCAAGCGTTGGCTAGACATGACAGCAAACCCACGTCAACAAGAATGGCTAAAGCAGCCAGGAAAGTGCTGAGGTATCTGGTGACAACGAGAGACCAAGGACTGGAACACTCACCAGAACAAGAAGAAGAATTCAATAGAATCTATTCAAAGTCATTACCTGAAGGCAGAGAGAGGCCAAGAGGTGAATATCTTTAGTGATGCAGTATTCGCCAACGAACTGCGTGAAAACTATGAGAACGCAAGTGGATCGATCATGTATTTCAAAGGCGTTCCAATCGCTTGAAGAAGTAACCGACAAGCTGTCCGTGCCTATTCTACGGCTGAGAATGAATATAGTGCAGCTGCTGACACAATTGTGCTTAGTGAGCTGCATGACTCTACAGACTTCTATAGGCCTCTACCAACTCAGTTGGTACACACACAGAACGGCTTGCCTCCCTCTTTAGACAATGCTGTACTCTGGATCGACAACCGACCCGAGATCGCAACGGCTAAAGCAACTGACACATGCTCGAAGAGTCGCCATTATGCACTTCGCTACTTGCGTGTGCGTGATGCGGCGAGTAAGATAGTTTTCTGCCCAACTAACTAACTTAATAAAGGCTGATGGCTTAACTAAGCTAGAATATAGTTCGTTTCAACGTAGACTAATATTTCACCATATAGATAACCCGATAAACGAGGCCAACTATGATGGTTTAACTTACAGAAAGAGTAGCCATTTCGCCTAGTGGTTAAGTGTCTCAGTTCAGTTTCTCCGGATCTGAATGACGCAGGGTTCGAATCCGCCTGATGTCAGAATTCGAAAATGCCCGTCACTGGGAGGGCTGAGGAACAGCATCCATGCTGTGAAGCCGCCAGGCAAGGCCTGGGTATGAGGTAAGACACGGTGACCCAAGAGGAAGGGCCCGGCCCGTCCTGTGCTCGCCTCGGAGAAGTGGCCAACTAGTTCAGCACTGGTTTACTTTGGTTTCTAGACAAGTATGCCGTAGCTATAGACGAATAGTTAGGAGATATGGCTTCCGTGTGGTCCAGAGACTAGGGACTTCGACACGCAACGATTGAGGAGGGGTGTTGGTCATGGTCGTAAATCCTTGAAATACCACAAAGATCCACCAAGGTCAGAAGGATGAAGATCATCAAAATGACCAAGATCGCCAGGCGAACAAGGTACCCACCGGCACCACTTTCAACGCGTTGGCCTTAGTTGGCGCGGGTGTCGGCGGTTTCTCCTCTCTCTCTCGTTTGTCGTTTCAAGTCTCTCAACACAGTTAAGGACAAAGCAACACAGGAAAGATCTCAGAGACAACCTACAGACCTAAACGCATATGATATGGCTCCAAAGTCAATGATCAACAGGCGAAGGGGCCTTCAACGTATTCAGGTAGCAGAAATGATGAATGTTCATAGCTGTAGTCAGGTTCATAGCTGCCAGTTCTGATCAGTTCAAAGAGCACGAAGATGATCGTATGAATCAATGATGATAGCATAGGCCTTCCCATATGAAGCATGCGAAAGCTTCCCATGCGACATGATATCCCAATGATGAAGCTGAGACTTCCTCCCTTGCAACCCCAATGAACATCCACAGGGATCAAAGCAGCCAGAGACCATTAGGCGCAGGCTGTTAGTGCAATCTGTACCAAGCTCATGCGTTTCTCAGTGAGAAACTAGACGCGACTTAACAGTCTGTGTTCGAATGGTCCAACAATGCGACTGATACAATAATTCTTCTTAGGTACTATATTCTTCTCGGTCACAACATTGCCAAGATTCATATAACAACGAAAACTGAATGTCTATGACACAAGAATAAGCAAAAAGAAATGCAAGAAATGAGCCTACGATCGCCCGGTTGATCACGTGCAACTTCGAGGCAGAGGACGGCGGGAAGCTGCAACACGTGTTCGCTTCCTACTTCGCGACGAATGAGTCGCTCTAGATTAGAACTTCAGCGGCTCTGTAGTTCCTTGAAAAGTGCTACTACCTCTACCCCGGTCATGGTAAAAATGACACTAAACTAAAAAATCTGCTTACCACGTGTGGACGTGATCTTTTTTGGAAAAAAAATCTGATCAAAAGGATGCTTAACTATAGGTACTGCGAATGCTTTGTTGCTCGCCATGTCTGCCGGAACGGTTAGAGGAATGCTCATGAAATTCCTTCCATCTGGGCACACAACAGAGAAGATGCTCTGAACTACCTCCCCGTCTAGTCCCGGTCGCGTGGCACATTCACTATGCAAACCCTGCAGCACATGCGAGAGAAAGTTCGGCTTCACGCATGTACCTGGGTTGAAGAGAGATGCGAGGCAGTTAGTTAGTACGTTCGTTGGCTCAACACAATCCGTTGTAGTTCTGCCTAACAAAGCTTACTGTTGAAACACTTTGCTTCTACTCTGCTACATCGCGAAATAAGCGAATTTCTGCTCATTATAGACCGGCATATCAACTTCAACATCAACAACACTCTCACCTGTATAACTGGTAAGGACTGGCGCAAATATCTTCTGCAAGTCTACTGGTTGAGCAGCCGGATCAAACGCCGTAAACTCTGCAAACGCGTCTGAAATCGCTCGCATAGTTGGACCTCGTTTTGTGTTACATGCAGAATCTTCGATCTCCATCTCTTCCATCTACCGGCCCAGTTCAAATCAGAATTAGACTGTATCTTTTTCACCTTAGGTTAAGAATGATGATCAGAATGTTACTACTGCTGAAAACTACTTTCTAGTTTAGTATGTAAATGATAATGCAGCAGCACGTCTTTAAATTTACTTGGTAGAAGATGTTCACGAAAGGAAACTTCTAGGATACCCATGCAATCCGATCGCGCGGTCCACAATCCCGTGACCAGTTTGACGAGCGGAGGGATGGCGAGAAGCGTGTACACAATGGCGTTGAGGCAGTCGTCCAAGTGTGGCAGGGTGCCTTTCAGGAAGAGAATAGCCCTGGAAGGATGCTGCGCAAAGACCTCCTCTATCCAGCTAAATTGAGCGCTCGAGTACCGTCCACCGCGCCCAAAGTTTGGTACACCTCCGGCAGAAGGATGCGTGGGAGCGCTTCTGACACCGAAAAACGCCTGGCCTGGAGGACCTCCGTGTGCCGGAAAGTGCATGGAATTGTTCACTGCTCCACCGGTCGCATCGAATGGGCCGCCTAAAGACGCGGACCTGGCAGACATGGGCATCAGGCCGCTCGCGGGTGCGGATAGACCGTTTCCGCCGTTAAAAGCAGGGTTGTAGAGAGGCGGAAATGGCGAAGGATCTCCAGCGAACGGTTGCATCACATGCGCTGGAGGCAGCGACGGTAGAGGTGCGAACAAGGGATGGAAGCTTGACAAGGGCGGACTCTGAGGCGCTAGGAAGTCGAAACTAGAAGGCGGACCCGGTGCCTTGAAATACGTCGTTCCGCCGACGACGCAAGAAGACGACTGCTGCAGTCCAACGCTAGCTCCCGGAGCGAGCGGTGGCAAAAAGTTCTGAAAGGGCCCAGCTGCATGCGGCAGTCGCGGGACAGGAACAGCAGAAAGCGCTGGTGGTTTCGGCAGTGGCGATCCAATATCTTCGGTACCCGAAGTTCCTGACGCGGGTGCAGGCGAGAAACTCGGAAGCTGAGCGGCAATCGTCCCACACGCGGCTGCAGGACTCAGGGCCGGCGACGTCCCCGGAAGCGGCGTGGGCACTCCCGGTGATGTGGTGGCCACTCTGTCGATGATGTCCGCTGTTGTGTTATTCGTGTTGCTTGTGCCTGCCAAATCAGAAGAAGCCTTACCGTCTAGTGCGGGTGTGGGCAGAGGTAAAGCGATACCTCTGGAAGCTCCGCTTGGCAGCACCGTGCTAGCGCTATTCGCGGCTGGCAGCGGTCCAGGAGCTGCGATGTTCCCACAGGAATCATTGAATGAGCTTGCGCCACTGGCCGAAGGCATCACGGCTCCAGGTTCCAGCAACTGCGTAGGTGGAGAAAACCCGACCCCTCCGATCAATGAGCTTACTGGTGTGGTTGCCGATGGCGCGAGCGGGGACGCTGTCGTGACGCCTAAACCCGCTGCACCAGTGAGGGATTGAAGAAAGGAGGCAGGTACTGAAATCATGGAGTTGGTCGACGGGAGAAGTTGCAGATTATCAGCTAGGTCCGCGAGCTCCGCTGCGAACGGCGGAATCACTGCGCCGCTGTTCAGTAGGTGCTTCACGCTGTCCGCGTCACTGCTGCTTCTCGGAGAACTCCTGCTGCTCGACATCGACGGCACGTCTCCCGCGCTTCGCGCGTGTTCGCGTTCCGACTCCTTACTCGGTGGCAGTGGAGGGACGATGTTCGCAGCACTTGCGGAGCGCTCTACTCCAGGGACTAAAGAAGATGTAGCCCCAACAGCTGGTTCACCCGGAACGGAAAACGCACCGCCGTCTGCGTTCCCAGCCGCTTTCGCCGTAGCATCTCCGTCCGACTCCACTTTGCAATCCTTCGATTTCTTCTTCGTAGATGACTTGATGATTTGATCAGCCAGCACGCCAACGGGGCCGTTCTTCTCGTTCGGTGGAAACTTTGGCGGTTCCTGTGGCGGACTGACCTTACCGTCTGCGACACTTGCTATGCGATTCCCGGCACCGTCGGCCAGCGGACCGCCCATTGCTGCGGCCGAAGACGGGATCAAGTCCGTCGCGGAAAGAAGATTGGACCCCCTGGCAGTAACTGCCGACACGTCGTCAGTGACTCCACTCGAACTTGATGTTATATGCTCCGCCGCTAGTCCCGCAGGCTGTGGTGGCCACGGGGCCGCCGCCCCGGGCGGTGACATCAGAGGCGCCGCTCCTGGCACAGAAATTGTTGCCGTCCCCTGAATGCCGTTGACCGACGCGCCACCAAGATGGTAATGCACGGTGCCGCCCGGACCGAACGTCGCAGGGAGCTGCAAAATTGTTGTGTTGCCGTTATGGTCCGTGAACGTGGTGGTCGCTGGCATCGAGAATGCGGCATGGTCGGGAGGTGGCACCATCATCATACCCGACACATCCATTGGCGTGACGAGCGCTCCGGAGTTCGCATGCGAGCCGTGATGTCGCCCATGGTCGCTATTCAAACCCGTGTCTTGTGACGGTCCAGACCCGCCTTCTGCGCGGCCGCCTGGTAGTCTGCTGCCGGCACCCGAATGCTCACCAGAAGCATTGTATTCGTCGCCGTATTGCTCCCATTCGCCGCTGCCTCCATGATACGATCCGTAATGACGCAAAGAGCCATTTCCTGCGCGTATTGGCCTCGCGTGGGTGCCCCATCGGTGGTCCCCACCTTTACCCGTGCCGTGGTAGTACCCACCACTGTAGTAAGCATCGCCACGTGCTGACCAGTACTGTCCGCTACCGCGGTGTCGCCCTCCCCAGTAGAAACTACTGTACGAGCCGTTCTTTGCATTCGTATCACGATATAAAATGTCCTGCACCTCCGCTGCCTCATTCAGATCCTCGACATGCCCACTGTCTTTACCTCTGCCGTGCCAAGAATCGCCGCGCGCCGGCGCATCCGCCTTTGCTCCTGCCTTGGCTACTCCTGGCGGACCATCGTGACCCGTGGGGCCCTGCGGAGGTGGCGGCGCTCCGCCCTCGGCGGCTGCTCGCCCGCCTCGGCTGTACCTGTAGTAACGATCGCTGCGATAAGCACCGCTTCCTCCTTTGTGATAGCTGCCACCGCGCTGTTGATACGATCCGCTAGTACTCTGCTGCCGAGTACCGTTTGCGTTGCCGCCTGAGTTCGCGCCAGCACCATGCTTGCTCCCACCGCCGCGTGCGTCCCTACCTCCTGCAGCTGCTGCTTGCCGCGCTGCACTCGAAAACAATGGCAAGCGCTGCTGAATGAAGGCGTGAGCCTTGTCTAGCTCGTCGCGAGTCCCCTTGAGCTGAATGCGTCGTCCTCGTGTGGTTTCCTGCGTGAGAAGCAGAGCCTGCGCAATCCCAGACTCCTGCACTACCTCGGTCAGGAAGCCTGGCGGCCGACTAATTTTCGACCACCGGATTTGCTGAAAGCAATCTTCGTCAATCTCCACTGTCTCGATGTGACATTGTCGATACTGCGCCAGCTTCTCCAACGCTTGTCGTAGATCTTCCCGCCGGCCCTCGACGTAAAAAAGAGCCACCGTGGGCCTGTCCTTCTCATCCGCGTGCTGCGACGTCGATCCGGAATCACAGTCAGGGTCTGCGGGGGCTCCAGCTTTATCGCTTCCTCCGGTCTGCTCGCTGGTAACGTCTGGTGAACCGACAACCATCGCTGGAGAGGATGAGGATCCGCGCGCGGCTGCTCGGCCTTCATCATTGTCGGACGACAACGAGCCATCCCTCTCACCCGCAGTATCGCCGCTGCTTTTCGCTGCCTGCTGCTCAGAAACCAACTCGCTTGCCAGTTTTTCCTTTGGATTTGGATACAGCACTACGTCTTTGCAGCGACCAGCGATAAGATCAGCTACCTGGACCTTGCTCACATTGTAATCTGCAAGGATAATCTTTACTGGATTTTTCTTCTTCTCCTTGATCTTAGGTCGCGCGATCCATGCCATGCGATTGCCAGGAGCCGCGGTTATTACAACCTGACCGACGCGGAGTTTTTGTTGTTCAGTCAGCATGGTGCCAACTACTGTTTCTTCCGCAGGGATTTTGGACGAGCTGCTTACACGTAAAACTACTCATATCTACGCACATTCTACCTTGAAATACTCAAAACAAAGGAGTACCTCACGTAGTTCCCACTCTTCCTCGTCCCCTATTTGCTCTTCCGGGGTCTCGCGCCCGTCACCACCCACTGCTCCAACCTCTATATCTGACGCAACAATGCCATCTGCATCTGATGTTAGCCTCTCCTCGTCCTTCGTCTTGGGGCAGTTCTGCTCGTCTTCAGAACTGGCCGCCCCTGCACCAGCACTACTCTCGGCACTTCCTCTTTCTACGTTAAATTAGAGATCCTTGTATGAATCGTCCACCATTGATTTCACAATTTTCTCAAAAAATTAAAAATCGTCATCGCTCGTGAAAATAGATGAGAACTATGGACCATGTATAAATATCAAGAGCCGACTTACTAGAACTGCTGTGGTGTCTTTGTCATAATCAGACGGCCTCTGACGCCAGCTGTGCAACAGTCGGGAGCTCACGGTATGCTCGGGAGATACATCGCTACACATGACCCTCTCGTGGCTTTCTAAAGCGATTTCAGCTTGCCGTTCGCGTGGCATCAAGACGCCTCGGGCACGCCGTCTCTCTTCTTTCTCCAACTGTCGCGCCTCCCACGAGCTCTTGTCACCCCCGGTCGACCTTGAACCTGCTACCCCGTTTGCACCACCTGTCTGTCCGGACGCGGCTTCCTCTTCTACTTAGAAATCTAGAAGCTACCAATTAACAGATCAGCTCGCTTCGTGAAGACTTGATAATAGTATTCTAGTAGAACAACTAGATCTAGAACTAGAATCAACATTGCGCGAACAAAAAATTAGACATTGTGATTATTGCCTTAAGCTGCCGCACTTGCCTTGATCAATATGTCTATCATCGATTGCTCACCCTTGCTATCCTCCTCCACGGAGACCGCCATCGCCTCAATTTCCGAAACTGTGTCTGACGCTCCCTTCATCCTGCCTCAGAAGTAGACGCGATCCTCACATTCAACGAATTTACGCGGAATGATGCAATAAATCTTACTGAGCTTTGATGATGGACGCGGCAAATTTTGCGATTGTGAGAAAGGATTCATTCAACATCGCGAAGCGGCGCGCTCCTGTCCCGCCCGAAACCAGGTGGCTTAAGAAGAAAACAATGGTGCACCACGCTGCGGAGCTTCTAGCATTGACAAGAATACGAAACTCTCGGCCAGATGACGTATTCGCGTAAAATGAAAACTTTGAGGAGAAAAGCGCTACTTGCATTCATAATCTTGATGGAGCGGTTACGCAAGATAGTACTGTGTCAAAGGCGACACTGCTGCAACACGGCTCCCAATACGTCGATCTTATGCCGCCAGGGGTCTAACTTGCGCAATCGTGGTTTGATACAGCGTTGCTTCTTTCTGCTGAGTGGTCAAGACCACGTCGAGTAGTAGTACAAAGTTCTTTGATAGCCTTCTACATTGAGTATGCTTGGGCGAGGCTTTCTTGCACGTCGTGAGAGCCAGTTATTTCCGTCCGTCGTACTGCGAGTCGCAACAATTCAGATTTGTCGCAACTTCATCGATGAAGAATTCAAAAAAAAGTCACCCCGAAGATCGGCGGCAATTCTAGTCATCTGAAGGAAGAGGTGAGCATAGATGTTGTGAAGGTATAAGATCACTCACCAAATAAAAAATCTGTTAGATCTCGACGCAAGCACCAGACCCCACGAAGTTCGCGATCTTGGTCAACGTTGTCATTGCTATGAAGATCAACAAGCCACTACTATAAACAGCATGCAAGTGCAAACATCAACTTGCTCATGTGTGACGCTTCCCATTATCATCGCAGGCCTTGAGTCTAGTGCAGTACAAAAGTAAAAACCTTCTCTCTGGCAATGTTAAAGCCGGGAGCTTTTAATTTGTTCGCGACCCTTTCGGTCAATCTTAACAAGATGTACCTACTGCACATGTTGAACATAGTATGAACATGAGGGATTGACAAGTAGAATGCACACGTCTCACAATCGTTACTCCTTGAAAAATATTCTGATAAAAATAGTATCTATCTAAAAGGTTGGGATTACAGTGAGTCAGACAGGCGACACGACTTGATCACAAATATAAGGAGCGGACGATGGAACAACAAGAACCCATAACAGTCCAAAACGAAAAGAAAATACTTATGATTGTTGAGATACTTATTCTACTTCCTCGTTAGGATGATCTACGATGTATTACTTCAAGCGGTCTAAGAATCAAAAAGACAAGAAAGCAATCAAACACAAGAACAGGCTCATTTTCTAATTATATTCGTCGATGGATACGGGATTGTAAGTGTTTGATTTCTCACGCCACGCATATTTTTTAGCCAAACTATCATCGAGATGATGCACACGAGATAGCATAGGTAAGTAGAAACTTGTTCATTTGTTTGTATTGAAGCGCTCTGAGCAACGCGTACGCTCTCACCAGATTTCTTTGCGCTCCTTCGTGTGTTTTGTGCTATGGTCGCCGTTGCGACTATGGTGTGTCTCGCCTTGCTGGTCGTGCGTTGCCTCTTCGTCGCCGCCAGCTAGAGTGTGTCGGGCTATGCGGGTGGCGGCGTATGTGGGTAGTGGCTGACGCGGGTGGCGGTGTAGCGCGGTCAGGCTGCCTGGTGGGCGCTGCTTTCTCGGTCACTTTCTCTCGGCCCGGGGCTTTCGGGGTGGGTTTGCTTGTCGTTCGTACTTGCGTGCTTCGTTCGTCGTTCCTCGTGCTTTCTTCCTGTGTTCGTTCTCTTTGTCGTCACATGTTTACTTGTCCTCCTTGTAATTGTTTTGGCTTCACCTCCACCTAGCTGAGAGAGAGAGAGAGAGAGAGAGAGAGAGAGAGAGAGGGAGAGAGAGAGAGAGAGAGAGAGA